GCCTGTCCTTGATGGCGCGTGTCCATTTTGTGCTGTCATTGAACGTGAACGTGAAAACCTAAGCAGAATACCAAAATAACTGTAGAGAGTAAAGGGAATACTGAGTACTGAATGCGGAATACAGAATGCCAATGTCATGGACTCTACTTCCTGTGAAGTCCACTCAAGTCTCAATTAGTCTCATTTGGCTGACGATTATCAATCTCAAAGGTCATAGGCGCAACAGGAACAGCTGTACTGATTGGATTTATCTTCGAACCGTTTGCAAAACGAAAGCGATTTAATATTTTAAACAGAAACCTAGTCGGACGAGAGATGAAGCAGAACAGTTGCTGTTCGGAGCTATTGGTCACTCAAGCGTTAAGAGAAGAAAATACTTATTTTAGGAGCACAGCTTAACATCTTTGAGTTAAAGTCCATTCACATACAGCTGCCGATTATTTTTGGCAGTGTCACAAAATAATTCAATGCATCGAAAAATGTCAGTGACGTGTTCATGCCAAAATGTGGTACTTATCAGATGTGATGTGCGAGTGCATCTTTTACTTCACTTCAGCGCACGAGGCGTATGCGTAATTTGGCAACTGTACCACAAAATACGATTAAGTAAACCTGAATAAACATGCTGAGAATAAGTTTTACGAATCTCAGATAAATAAATCTTTAAAACTTCAACACATTCTGATTTGGGATTCATTGAATTCGAAACTGAAATATCAGAGATTAAGACTCAGCCGCAAAACATTTAAGATTTAATTTAAGTAAATGTAGAACCATTGAGCCAGCCAAATTCAGCGAATATTTCAACGCACAGTCAACTTTTACCCTTGCCTCAGCCCTTGCTCAGTCCGGGACAACTTTGTCTGGAGTTGAGAATTTGTGTTTATGCATTAAATTAGGGGAGTCTCGTCGAGGGCAAATTTTATGATTGGGTTATGCTGTTTGCAGGGCCGCGTGTGCCGGCTGTTTGGGTTAATAAAATATGCAAATATCCAGCATCCAAAATTAAGTTTCTCTTTCGTTTTCATTTTGCAACCCTAGCCCACAGCTGGAATCCTGCAGCCGCTGACAGGATGAGCTGTCATACAGCTTAAAACCAAAGTGAAAGCGACATATGCAGCCGACAAGTTTCACTCTTATGTGGCCCACGATCTCAAAGGTCTATTAACTAATAATCAAATTATTTTAAATACTTCAAACTTTTGAGCACTTGTCACGCCTTTTATCTGTGCGTCGAGCTAATAGTAATATCGTGTTTTGCCTACACTTAAGTTGTCGAATTCATTTATAATTACAATAATTAAATTATTTAGTAGACGGGATTTGTGGTGATACGCATGATGCCTGCTTGCGTGTGTGAAAGCAACTTGTTGCTGTGCATTTCAAGCTTTTAGGGACTTAACAATTATTTTGAATTACAAGTTACGTATAAAACTTTTAATGGAAACGCCTTAAGGCATACATTTTCTATGACACAAAGTTGAAGAACTGATTGTTCTTGTTAGAAATTTAAGTAAGAACTTGTTGTCCTTTTCTTAGGTTAATTAAAATAAGAAAATCCCTATTGAATCAAAGTGTTGAGCCGCTAAATGTAAGAGCAAAAACCTTATGGAAAATATTTATGATTTGGCTATCAATTCGTTTGACCTTAACCACAAATATAACATAAGCTGTTGGGGTAAACACTCGCAGATAAATGCTCACTCACTCACACGCACTCCAGAGCAAAGCCAACCTGGCCAATAATTTATTTCACATTTGCCACACGTAACAAATAACGAAATTCTATTATATAAATTGAATATGTGACAGACAAGTGGGAAGTCTTATACAAAAATGTAGGTGAATATAGAATCTCAGTTGCACAGCCACTGACTTTCTCTCGTTCTCGCGCGCTGTTCGTGGAACTTATTGCTATCTCTATTTGACACACTAGTAGGATATCGAATATTTGCGCACACAAAAATTCGATAAGCAAAAATGACGTATAACAAAATAAGCCTAACCGAAAAGTCAAATGCCTTTTCATTTTGTTTGATTGTACCACGCACACACGCGCATACACACATTGTTGGGCACACTCACTCACTTTTTTATGTAAGGCCATTTGACGTCTGTCAATAATTTCTTACCTGCAACTAGGCAGCAATGATGTATTATTTATGTGCGTGTGTGTATTGAGATGAAATTGAATTGTTATTTGTGGTGGCTGCTGTTTACTTGCGCCGCACCACGCACATAACTTTCTTTTCGTTTATTTATAAAAAGCACAAAATACGATTGGAACGTGTTGATGCCCCAAATGGAGTACTTCAGATTCAATTATATGCTATACTTGGTAACTGAATTCATAATGAAACCATGGATAGCAGACACCTTGTCGGGCGGAATACGCTGTAACTCGTTTATTTTTATTCTCACGCAAACTTCAGAGAGGCCAGCAACAGGTCGAACAAAACACTACTAATAATTAAATATTTCCTGGAATTCTGAGTGAAATATAATCATTATTAGATTCTAGATTCATGGCCCACTTATAGCTGCTGAGTTGCATTTCAGTAAGTTTAGGAATTTCATGCCACAACAGTTGCTGTGGCGAGCACAAATCTGATTTGGGCCACAAAACCATTTATTTGTCTCTGATGTCTGGTGGCAAAACCAAAAGCCAAAACACCGAAAACCTAAAAGCACTTAATAGCAGCAGCTGCTCCTACTCATTGCTGGCCTGCTGAAAGTCAAAACAGGATGCAAATTGAAGACTATTATTGGATTTGGTTGCATATACAAGTGGCCAGTTGATTTTGACAGCAGCTGTCTGCTACAATTGTCTGGTGGAAATGTTTATAAATGATCGTTACGTTATTTATCAGCCTTCTATTCATTCTCCTTTTAATTTTCCGCTTTCTGCTGTTTCATGACGCACAGCAAATTTCAATGTGATTTGCTCGCATTACTCATACGCCACATTGTGCGACGCCCAATCAATGCAAAGCAATCAGTTGAGGGCTTACAAGTGTAAGCAGCAGCAGCACCAGCTTTAGATGGACCAATGACCAGCCAAGTGACAACAACAAATCTCTGCTAATGTGCTGCAGCATTCAATGACCCAGAATACAATGTCTAGTCGAGCCAAGTAGACCCAAACTTGGCGCAGCTGTAGTCAGTGTCCAAATTCTTAACATGTTAACGCCCATGCTCGCGTTGCCCAAATCCTTTGAGAAATTAGTTTGGGACCTGTTCAGAGACTTAGCTCTTGGCTTTGCCACTTACCGTCGACTTCTGGCATTTATCAGTTGCTTGCTTTTGATGATTTAATGAGCCTGAGCAGCAGATGAGTTTTAAGTTCTGCTTCAGTCTGGCTTAGCTCTCACTCACATTCGGCGGCAGCAGCAGACTGCATTTAATATTCCGAAGACCCACTGCCGGGGGCAAACAAATTCCACGCCAAGAAACGCCTACGCAAACAATCAAAATTGCTTTACAAATCCAACGAATTAGAGGGTGACTGCGAATGGGAAGGCAGCATAAAAAAGACGTCCATTAAAAATTGCCACACGCAATGTAACAAGACTTGCGTAAAAGTTTTCATGGCAGTTGAATCTTGGCTTGGCCGTGTTCCAGGGCGCATAACGAAGGGAACTTGGCAGAGCGCAATAAAAATCAATCGCCACTGACGTCAACCAGACAAGCGTCTTGGCTGGGGTTTCTAAACTTGACATTAACCACTGTTTGACAGGCATGACCCACACACACTAACACACCCACACACACATGCAGACACACTTGCACTTCATGCTGTTTGTGTAAACTAAATGGAACTTGAAACTAAGTTTTGCCTGCAAATTGCATGTGGTTGACCAAGAGCAAGAGCTGGGTTCCAAAGCTCTTAAATTGCAAACACAGTGTTACAGTTTGGTTGTGCTGTGTGACTTGCTGTCTTTTCTGTCAATTTGTTGCAGCATTTAGCTGAATATGTCCCTAATGAAATAGAGTCAAAGGACAAGACAAGCCAGCTGAATCAAATTACTGCTTGTAAAATCCAATTACATCCAACTATATAAACAGAAGTCACAATTTTTACATTTTACTCGCTCTAGGGCGCAAGTCGGAGCTGGTGAATGTAAAAAATTAGATAGCGTCTGACTTGAAGCAGTCCACTTCTGTCCCTCAATCAAGGGAAAGTGGCAAATGCAGCTCTGCAACTCAATTACAAATATGCAATATGATAAAAGCCAAGTTAACAAGCAACCAGCCAAATACAAAATATATGATAAAATCATTTAAAGCTCCAAATTGTATTAAAGGGAAACCACTCAAAAAATTTAAAAAGTCAACACCTGCTATTTACTTTCACTCGTATCCTTTAATTACGCGTCTTGGCCATGCTGGGACCCGCTTTCTAATTTAATTATCGATAAAAACAACTCAGACGCTTCGCCAATTCCAGCTGTTGTCCCTTGCCGTCAAACATTGTGTCAATATTTAACGACACTTAACTAAGAAATTATTGGCGCATTTTATATGAACATCGACAACGCACTTAATGTAGCAATCGTTGAGATTTAAGTAAAGGTGATAGTCAGGACGACAGCAACATCAACACAGAGTGGACCGATAGCATATAATTTATACTTAAAGCGAAAACCTAAAACTAAGATATCTTATTAAATAAAAGAATGCTTAATCATTATTATACTTTTATGTCTTATATACTAAAAAGGCTTAAAGACTTTTTCTAGCTTTCTACATTCTATTCTGTACTATGATTCTTAAAATACTTGAATGTTTCAAACCGATTTTAGTTGGTTTTTAACTAAGTCATTTTATGTAGTTTTAGCTTCTGAGAATTTAAGCATAGCAAAGTTATTGCAGCATCTACCATTTCTCCGTAGATGCTACAATTTTTGTATGTTGATTTTTCTAGTTTCGACATCAGCTCCTGTTTCTACCTTTTTAACAAATAAAATTTTCATGACAATAAAAAAGGCTTGGCAGTAGGACATACATTACATAGATAAGTGCACATAATAATAAAAGCACTTGAAAATAATTTTCAAAAGTAATAATTTACCAAAAACAGAGCTTTTCATTTATACGTCTAGTCAAAAAAAAATCATTGAAAATTTATGAGCCAGCCAGTTACTTGAAGGTATTTACTTTTGCCTCTTTGCAACATTGGACCAAGTTTAAACAGGCTTAAATTTATATGTTTTCTAAAATGTACCTTATGTTCTTTATACAACGAATAGCTTTAAATTTTTAAGAAAGATTTAGTTAAAAATGAACGGACAACGAAATGAAAACTCCCACGGCGTTTTGATTTAACCAAAATCAAAATATTTGTATGTTGATTTTGAAAGCCAAATCTTTTCATTTAATTTGCGCTTTCTCCATTTATCCGCAGGGCCAATCATTGTGTTAAGACCTTAAGAATGAGAAAGAGAAATGGATAAAAAATCCTCTGGGCTGAAATACAAAGAACAGCCAAAAGTCAAAGCAGAAAAACGCAAAAACAAGCATAAAAGACATAAAATAAAAAATTAAAAAATTCAATGAAATGTCAGCACAAAACATGTCTGTGAGATGGTGTCCCGTTTACAAAAATAAACGAAGAAGTGTAGAAAACAATAAATTAAAATCGAATAAAATGTGAAATAATGTTCATGACAGACATAAGTGGGAGTACGACAATTGTTGCTCCGTGCCATTGTTGTTCTTGCCGTTGGTGTAGCTGCCTGAAGCACAGTCAATGGCCTACTGCTGATTAGTACAAGAAACATGGGGACACACCCACGAACGAACTTGCGACAATTGTCGATTGCGTATACTTCACGTAAGCCGCATGGCGAAAAGGCACCAGAACTTCATCATTCACTTTCCAGCTGCCAGTTACTATGACATTTGGCATTTCTGGCTCCAGCAATGATTTCAAGACATAAAAAACTTAAACAAGAAACTCTTTTAAGAATAATTTAAATGACTAAAAAAATAATAAATCAAAATTTCATGATAAGAAGCCGAAAAGATGAAGACGTAAAACATTTTATAAGCTACAAGAAAGCATTCGCAGCAGCCTTCGTTGCTTAACTGTTGGCAGTTACAGGCCAACTGACAGCTAGCTGAACACAACAGAGACTTTGGGACTAACAGTAAGACCTTTCCAGGAACATGTTGGAATTCGGCACACCGGAATGGAACACAAGAACAGTAGAAATAACAAAGTAAATGCTCCCAATTGCATAATACACGCATTATCTTGTTTCCATTCTTTGAAATTGGTAATATATTTTTACAACACTTTTATAGGTTGACAAATATAAATCTTTAAAAATATTTCAACATATAATTTAACTTAAAACTCAAATAGCCAGACTGTCAATTAGTTAGCCTGTCTGGCCATAACATGCAACAAATCACCTGTTGCGTTTATTGTCCATTGCCGAAGGCTCTAATTAAAGTCTGCCATAGCCAACTTTTTGCGTTACTTTCGCAAAAGTTTGGTCGCCTGCGGGTCTAAGCTGGTTGGACAAACTTTGATTTTGTGTCCAAATGACAGTTGGGCTATAGGTGGAATAAAATAAATTACATAATCCAGTTCGCTGACATTTGTCAAAGCCAAAGTCAAAAGAAAGTAAATCCTAAGACGTTATATTCAATGCGACATTATATTTGATGCGTAACGAAATAAGTCAATTTAAGTTGTCTTAAGCTACAATGAGATTCAGCTTGCCTTGAAGCACTGTCAAAAAATACTAGAACAACATGTTGATGATATGAGAGGGTAAATGTTTGACAAGAACTTTATTTACATTCAAAATTCAGTTTAAATAATCATAAAACAACTTTAAAGTACGTTCGTCGTAAATAGTATTTAAGGCTGTAAGCAGAGTTTTATGCTAGAGTAAATCCAAAGCAATAATATATGATGAGCCTATTCACATGTGAGTAAGTGCATTGAAATTTTGCTAGCAAGCTGCGGTTAGTCCGTGCCACACCACATAGCCAAAACAAGTGAGTGACTTACTGCAGTGAAACTGTCTGTTTTATTGAAGAGGCTATTATAAATAACATGTTGCAACAAGCTAAAGTTGGTAACAAGTAACTACGGTATATCCCTATATATATATATATATATATATATACATATATAAATATATCCATATATATATAGGTGTGTGTGTGTTTATACAGAAGCTGCCTGCCTTCTGACGGTGTCCCATTGTTGCGCTAATGACACTTTTATAACTTTTTATAGATTTTTCACACTTAATGTGAACTTGTGCCATTTATCGTGGCATCCCCGACAGCGACAACAATCCTTTTTGTAAGCAGCGCCAGCGATGCGTCGCCTATTTCGTCCTTTTCTATGGTCTGCTTCCTTTTTGCAAACTTATTTACGAGAATGTGCGGAAGATGCTGCCGGATTTGCACAGGCCCAGTTCAGCAAACATTATGCTACATGCGAATAGATATACACACGTATGTGAGTGGTTGTGTGTGTGTGTCTCGCAGTTGTTGCTACTGTTTGTTAGCTGGGTTGCATTGGGGCTAGGAGGCGGCGCCTATGCGCAACGTGGCGCATACGAAACAGGGCCGCCCGACACAATATTGCAGCAAATCCCAAATGCTAGGCATGAACAACTTTTAAACTTTGCCAAACACACGCACATAATATGTTTGAATAGCGCCGATGTATCTGTGGGTTTGTGTCTATATGTGTGTGTGTGGTTTGCATTATAAACACCGAAGCGTGGCAAGTTAAATTCAGAGAGAGATAAATTGTCTTTTCTGCCTAGTCTGATATAGTCTATTTGGGATGGGGAATGAGCAAAATCAAAAGCAATCATCTTGATATTTGCACAGCGTACAGAGCCTATGCCTTAGTTTTCATGCGAATATAGATAAAAGGGAACGTTTATTTTGATTTCATGATGCTCGTAAAGTGTTTAGGGCCGCTCAGCCAAGAAGATTTAATAGATTGCTTAAGTGAATACAATATTTCAAAATCGCATAAGCTTTAAAGAAAAACAACTATGATGATAGATACTCATCTAATAATCAATGTAAATATTAATAATGATTTGGTTATATGCATATTTGCGAACTATTGATAAGTAAATATATTTACATAGACAAGAAATAAGTCTATATATATTTATATATGATAAGGCAATTTTCATAAGTAAGTTTCTTATAGCTATGGTAAAAAGATAATTTTCTTTTTTAATCAAACGAAATGCTGTAATGTGAGTGGTTTGATTGGAAGCTTTTCAGTTAGAATTTAGTATTCGGTTGGGCAGTTCTCATTCACCCACATTTTATCATATTAACTTTTTGTTCTTTTGACCTTTTCAAGTTATGAAACAGCCACTGCCAGCAAAAATCATGTGCCCTTATCGCTGCATATTATTTTTTATATTATTCATTTTCATTTATTTTAAAGTTAGATCCAAGGTTGGGTGGCACTTGTGCTGTAGGCCAGCTTTACACACGATTGCCCACCTACACATACAGATATACAGACAGTGGCAGACTCATATATGTGGATGATGGAATAAAAGCCGTTGCTGAGCGCAATTCAATTGGAATTAAATTCAAGCAGAAGCAGCAGCAGTAGTTGCCTTCAGCTCTGGCTGCACTTGTTGTTGCGACCCTATTGTTGGCCCCATTTTGAGCTTAGCAGCTCACACTGTGTGTGTGAATTTCCTGCTTCCAGTTTGTATATATATATGTATGATAAAGCTATGTTAGCGAACCTCGTAACTGTGTTGATTTCGTCCCGGGCTTACAAGCTGCATTTTTGCACCCATTGATGACAATGGTCAGATTTACACTGCAATACAATTTGCTAGTCTTGTTGTTGTTGTTTCTGTTCTTGTTATACAGTATTTTTTATTGTATTTGCTGTGTGTCAATATCCTGAGGCATTGTTACATGGACCACACACGTTGCCTGTTCGTTAGCGGTAATTACTAGCAAAAGCTTCAACTGCTGCACTGGTCACAACTGGCGTTGCCCTTGTTTCGACATTTGACATTTGTATCAAAGCGCAGCATTTCATTATATTTTACATTTATGGAAAATTAATATGAATATTTTTGATATGATATAAATTAATTTATTCAATTAACTGTCAATTATGCCATTGGAATTCTGCACTTGGAATAAATATGCAGTCAAGTGCATATAAGCCTTTTATCAATCGTATAATGCATTTTCCAGCGAATCTATTTAATTAAAATATCTTACAAAACTTCATGTGACTATGAGTGACTTCTCAATACTTCGTAAAAACTATTTCAATATAAAATTAATTAATTGTAAGAGTAAATATTAACAGCTCTTGGTTAAGTCCCATAAATAAATGAGTAAGCTGTAAAAGTGTTAAGTTCACTTGGGAAATAAAACAGATGTTTGGTCACTGAAAAGTGTTGCGTACAAATTAGAACAACCTAAAAATTCTAGATAAATCGTTGAAGTGTTAGAATTAATTAACAATTCCCTTTAAAAAAAAATAAATAACATTAACGAAGCAAAGTACAATGGAATGCCTAAAATACCGAAGTACTTACATACGTATAAAAATTGCAAAGTATTACTTAACTGGTATCCCGTTGTTACTGTACCCAAATTTTCTAATGCACCGTTAATAAATTGTGCCCCGAAGTTATTTACGCAAAACAACCCATTGGAGCCGTAACCCAAATGCATAAATCACACGAAGCTTCAACGGAAAATGGTTGTGCGTTTGGGTTGATCGGGATATTCATTGTCGTCGCTGCTGGAAATGTAATTTGTGCTCGATTTTACCCAGCAACTTTGGTCATTAGGTGGACCTGCCGTTTTCTCTACTCTTTTTATATTTCAAGACGAGGCTAAATTGCACTTTTTGGCATTTGGTTGGCGCCGCAAGCCTTGAGTACATGTCAACATGGCGTAATTTATATTTAACTATGGCAAACAGAAGTGCCAACTCCCATCCGCCACTACCATCTTATCAACCAGAGCCAAGCATTGTGAGTATGGAAATTACACAACGGTAGCACCCATAAATTCAGATTCAAGAACTAAGCAGTTACAGATGCAGTTACTGTTGCTGAGCGCCAAGCAGTTCGCTCTACACTTTTACAACTGGTATCACCTTCTACCGGCGTCTTCCTCTTTAATTGTCTGCTAATTGTTGTCCCTAGCAGCGTATGAACAACCCGTCGTTGTGGTATTGGCTATTGACTATTAGTTATGAGCTGATTATGCATCCACTGCTTGCTGGCAGCCGTGATTAATGTGCCATTAAACGTGATTACGAGGAGGTTGGTAGCAAACGCGCTCGGCGCCCTAAAAAAGCATTTGCACGCGAATGTCTGTCAAAATGGCACGCAAAATACTTGCACAATATCCCCATCTGCCGCATGAGCAAAGGGAGCAGCCCCAACGCAAACACTTCTTATGGCATTTTTATTGAAACACGTAAAACGCAGATTGAGCAACTCACAACCAAGTCCAAAGAGTTGAGTTGCAAGGGCTGAATAATCATCGAAGACGTAAGCCTCCCTGGCACGTAAACAAGAGGAATGGAATTTCACAGTACGCGAAAGAGTAACATGTTATTAAAACTATAAAATCTTCTAACTTATTATCAATCAAATCGCCCTAAGAGCATTACGCCAATAACATAAACTCTGATTAGAATGAAAAAGAGTATAATATTGTCTATTATCTATTAGAAGTCTGCATGAATAGCAAGAAAAACCACATTCAAATGAGCAATTCTCAAAATGCGTTGAATGAAGTTGAATGTGAAGCCAAATAAGACAGTAAGTGAGAGCGGTTGCTTAAGACTCGATCGCACAACACTCAAGCGAAAACAAAATGACGTGAATGAGTGGGAATGCGTGTGAATCAGAGGTGGCGTTTTGAATGCATTCAATTGCCAAAACCGACTATATAATTATGGTTGTCTTAGTCTCGCACAGCTCATAAATACATTTCCACACTTCACTTCGGTAACTCATTTCACTCAATACCGTATGCTAAGAGACACCACACTCCCTCATATTGACACCATTCGATTCATTGAGGACTCTCACTAACTCAATTCAATTCAATTCGAATTCGTTCGATTCGGGGTATGTTTTGAATGCAGCCATGCAGATTTTTAATACCTATACATACAATGCATGCTTTACTGTCCGTCCATCAGTATGCGAAGCATTTGAAGCTTGAATTTTTAAATTTTGAACATATATTCGTCGATAAACATGTCTTAAAATTGGTAAACATTGTTTGGATACGCCTTTGGAGGCACGGTTAATGGGGACTTATTAAGTAATAATATTTGTAATATATGCTCGAGGCTAACAATTTATGTTGGATGTAACATATACATTCGACAAAATCTACTCGATAACTATTTAACAGTTTCGATATTTATTATCGGTAGCTTAAGCCGATGGTTAACCGATGGTTCGATATTAGGTGGAAGTACCACATCTAAATGTTTGCTTATGGCATTTTCCCTCCAATTTTAATTAATCTCGATTAGAAAAGCATCCTTGCTACTCCTTGGCAATGAAAACGGATTTAAACAATTTTCAACATCCCGAAAAAATTGGCGAAGGCACATATGGCATTGTGTACAAGGCATGTAACAATCAAACCGGCCAGGATGTCGCACTGAAGAAAATTCGGCTTGAAGGGTATGTAATGTCTAGCTAAAGGACCTTTTTGATGTGGCCATAACTCTAGAATGCGTTCATTCAAGTAATAGCAATACCAAGATACGTACAGCTAAACCTATATGGCAAATGACAAATTGAAGAAATACTTCCACTGGCAGATGCGCCTTATCCTTGATGTCCTTGACGAATGTCAAACAGCTTGGCTGGCTGAGCAGCTGAATTACGAAGCCCGAGTTTTGTGTGTGCCGCGCTATTTTTGGGTACGTAGCACCACATGATTCGGCTTGGTAGTACACGCATATTCACCAAATGCCTCCAAGCACCCAGTAGATATGTGCTACTTAAGAGTAGATTGTGCACTATTACTTATAAGTTCACTGTATTCACTTATGTTCTCATAGAGAATCAGAAGGCGTTCCATCGACTGCTATACGGGAGATATCTCTATTAAAAAACCTTAAACACAAAAACGTAGTGCAGCTTTTTGATGTGGTTATATCAGGCAATAATCTCTACATGATATTCGAGTACCTTAACATGGATCTTAAAAAACTTATGGATAAGAAGAAGGATGTCTTTACACCACAACTTATAAAAGTGGGTAGGCTTTTTGGAAAATTCATCGATTCACAACAATTATATTATAATATCGGTGGTGATAACATTTACAGAGCTACATGCACCAGATATTCGATGCGCTGGACTTTTGTCACACTAATCGCATACTGCATCGCGATCTCAAGCCGCAAAATCTGCTCGTTGATACTTCAGGCAATATTAAGGTAGTGTAGCATAATTTTCTGACTAGGTATCAAATAATCTCCTGATTTTAGTTGGCAGATTTTGGTTTGGCGCGTGCTTTCAATGTACCCATGCGTGCGTATACGCATGAAGTAGTTACACTTTGGTATCGAGCGCCGGAAATACTGTTGGGAACCAAGTTCTATTCCACGGGCGTGGACATCTGGAGCCTTGGTTGCATATTTTCCGAAATGGTGTGTCAGCTTGGTCTGCATTTGGTGTTTTTACTAACGAGTATTGGCTTTACAGATCATGCGACGTTCGTTGTTTCCAGGTGATAGCGAAATTGATCAGCTGTATCGCATTTTTCGCACACTAAGCACGCCTGACGAAAGCAAGTGGCCTGGCGTTACACAACTTCCAGACTTTAAAGCTAAGTTTCCCAAATGGGAAGCAGCCAATATACCGCAAACCATACGCGAGCATGAGGCTTATGATCTGATTATGGTAACTCAAATTAAACATAAAACTTAAGCTGTACATATTAATGATTACTTTTGACAACAGTCAATGCTGTGCTACGATCCCAATCTCCGTATATCTGCAAAGGACGCACTGCAGCATGCATACTTCCACAATGTGCAGCATGTGAATATTGTGGCGTTGCCTGTGGACCCCAATGCTGGCAATGCTTCGCGGATTACGAAGCTCATTTGACTCAAAGTTTATGCTCCACATTATAGCTATTTTAATGTAAGTTTACGCATCTACCTCAATTTTGATAAAACTAGTGCAATTATAGAACATTTTACTTTGTGAACCACTCTTACTATTACAGATTCCAACTTCATTTCATATCGACATACCCTACAGTCAGACTAACAGACACAATCATAATACATACATCATTTACATAAAACATATTTTATTTGTGGTTATTTACCAAGCGTGCAGCAAATAAGTAACGCTGTTGCTGACGGGGTTTCGATTTAGCCAACGCAGCCAATTCTCTCTGGTGGGCGGGTTGACGCTGGCGTTCACGATTATCGATATCGTCATGCATATATGTGCCAAATGCATTGCGCACGCTCTCAGAGAGAGGCACACGATCATCGCTCGATGCAGCATTTGGTGCGGAATCAACGTTGCCTTCGGTATTGGTTCCGACGACAACATACGTTTCATCGGTGTTTTCATTGGCTACACTGTCATTGAGTGGTTCGTCGTGTGTAGTTTCGCCACTCGGCAACTGAATCGTCAAAGTGAGAGGTCGCAGTACGGCATAGTTTTTAGTATTACGTTTACCAAGGCTCTCTTCAGCCGTATATTGTGATACATCCCCTGTCACTGAATTATCTTGAAAATAGTGATCATAGTAATTTAGCTGACGAGGATAGTCCGCATAGGATTGCACGCGACGCACTCCATAGTAGTCATTAGGACCATAATAGTACATAGGCTGGTGCAGTGTGGTACCGTAGTAGTCATAAGGATCATTCAGCTCCTGTGAGTCATAGATTGGTCTATGCTTTTGCTGCTTACGACGCTTGCGTTTGCGTTTTTTGGCGTTCTGCGTTACAGCTGCGGACGATTGCTGCACCTCATCCTCCTGTTGCTCATCATTGTAAATCTGTGCTGGCACGGGCACTGTTTCGATTAAGTTGGTAACGCCATTGTTGAACAAGTTTACTAATGGATTGGTCAGATTACGCAAACCGAAATTTGGCTGTACGCTCCGTAAAAAGTTGTTCCAGACCCGCACAAAAGGCCGCTCTGTTGTAGTCGTAGGCGCTGCTTTTGGTTGACCTGATAAGAGATAAGGATTGTGTCTGTCACTGGGAAACCTGCTCGGCACAAATGAGTATTTCGGATAAGCAATCTGAGTGCTGCTAAAAGAGCAAAAAACATACAAATATTAAGATTAAATAGAAATCTAATAGAGTTCCACAATTGCGATGTCATTTTTGCTGATGAGAGAATAGGATCAAATGTATTAAGAAAGCAATTAAAAGTAACATTTATATTTATAGTTTGTAATTTGGCTTACCCAGATTTTTTTGGCGTCTGCATCTGTGGCTGCAAATACTGGACTTGCTTTAAGCTAATTGTCCTAGCTGCTTGAATCTGGCCTGGAACACCAATCCACGCCAGCAGAAGAAATGCTGCCCACTGTTGGAAATGCATTCTGTTGCCTGAAATAAAATCTTAAACTCGCGCCTGTTTTCTTCGCTGGCTCAGAGCCAACTAAAATTAAAATCAAGTCGAACTTAAGTTGTCAACACAATTTACACTTAAGATATTGTTAAGAACGCTCAGGTATGGGCTGGTTTTAATAGTATTTTGACTGGCTGATGGGTCAGTGAAAGTTTTTGCATCAATTTGGCAACAGCCATATAAAGACAGCGACATAAATATTTATGCTAGCTAAAACCCAACTAACCCCATTCTCAAAGCTTTTGAAAGTCATGGGCTGGGCGTAGTTGACCATTGATAGGTTCCAATCAACGAATACATTCATATGGTAATTTAATCACATACATATACACATATCATTTCTTTAACGTAACGATCATCTTTGCCAAGTTCTGAAACCCGTTTACTTAAAAGGAATTTTTAACTAGTTTGTTTTCACAAGCTGATTAGGTTTTAACGGAGTATTAGAATATAAATCAAAAATGATTGCAACATTCCCTTAATATTATAATTTAAAAGTCCAGAATAGTCTTCATCTTACAACAATGCTAACAGCTTTGAATACTCATTGCATTGATGACTGAGGCTCAAATAAATTAAACTAGGAATAATAAAATGTGTTATGGATCATGTAGATTATCTCTAGATCATAGCATTAAAAGCACAAAAGTCGCGTAGTGCTCGAAAGTATGTACTCGTTTTCCCCTTGCAAACAGAGTAGATAAATATAGTAGATGACCTTCAGATAGTCTGCGGCGACGGGACTGAAACGTACAGAGCCCGCCATATGGGGATTCAAAACAACTTCCGAGCTAAGGCCAAAACAAACAAAACACAAGAAAATCTCTAACAAGTGTCAACAACTGGCAAAAGAGAAAAAGATGGTAAGAGAGAAAGCTTTAATGGACGCTTGAGAGAGTGCTTTTGGGAGACTATAATCGAGCTTTGGCTGCCATAGAGCCAACTTGAAGGCATGCTCAGGAATCAGTTCAGTCGACGTTTAGATTCCTGGCCAGAAACCACCCGAGCGCTAAAAAGTCGCGACACGCGCTAAAAAGAAAGCTGGAAAATCGCCAGCAGCCACAAACAAACTACAATAGTTTTTCCTCAGCCTAGGAAAACTAGTGAAAAGGCAAGTTTAAGTGGCAGTTGCGTTCGACTAAACAGTCCACAACTCGTGTCCTAGTATAAGAGTGTGTGTGGGTGTATGAGTGTGTGTTAGTGCGCATCTGTGCTTGTGTGTATCTATGTACGTGTGCGTTTTGTGTATCCGTTCAGTGTTCAGTTTTTGAGTTGCTCTAAATTATGTGGAACAACAAAAATTTGCTGTATATATGTAATTGAATTAAAGAAAGGGCTGAGCAAGCAGCGGAGCGTTCCCTTTTTGTATAAGGAACTGTGAAAGAGAGTGAAAAAAGAATGACACGAATTGCGTAAAGTATGTGGCATGCCTCACACAAATACCATTAAGTGCTTAAGTAAATTATATAAATACGTTTAACGCATCAGTGCGCATTCACAACAAAAGCAAAACCTCAGTTGTCAGTTGAACAATTAATTACTCTGAAGACTTCCCCCATAAGCCCCAACGATTTGCCCCTTCATATGTATATAGATGCCCCAACAAAGTAACTGAGTAAGTGTAAGTAAAGCAAAGACTGGCTAAGGCGACCGGTTGCCTGATCCCACCCAAAAAAAAAAAACACACCCGAGTATAAAAAAGATAGATACAGCACTCTAGCAAGGACAATGTGAGCAAGCACCCAAGCGAAATTGAAACATCTTGGCGGGCGTTTCATGACGAGTTTTTGAAGTGCGCGTTTTGTGGTCGCCTCTCTCACTCAGCCCACCCACTCAGTTATTATTGTTGCTGCGCTAGGCCAGGTGTGTCTCAGAGTAACAATTTTTGGCGTCACTTTCGCTTTCGGTTTCATTGGCGATGTGTAGTCGTGCCCTCGCTCAAATGTTGTGCTTGACCATAACCACTAAAAATGTCACATTGCGTATATGCCGCGTGTTGTCCTCGAGCATTGTTGTTGCTGTAAGCTCTCACCCAGCACCCAACACCCAATCGCCCACGCGTGCCCCGAGAGCGCAAGCTTACGCTTTTCCACTCTCTCATTTTTCGCCACGCTGAGGACTGTTCAGCTGTTTAGTTTTTGTTTTGTTTTGAATCGCGTTTTTGCACTTGGGCCGTAAACAACCAAAACCACCCACTGTCTCGCTCCCTGCTGTTTATCTAGACGCCAGCCCCATCAGTCTGCACATTTGTGCACGTTTTGCCTCGTTTTTGTTTGGCAATTTAAATTTTATTGCGATTTTAATGCAGCGCAAAGAAAACAAACAAAAGCCACGTCAAGAAACAGAACGTGCTGAAATCTTTTGACTTACATGGAGAAATTTGCCGACTAAATATGCACTCTAGGAATAGGCTCTGTAATTATTGTTACTGTGTGTGCCTGAAAGCTTTATGGTCCACTACCCACAATTTCTAGCTGATTGTGTAGAAGATTTCTGATATTGTAATGGATGAAAAGCTGAATACTGAGCATAATTAAGAGATATGGATCCTGAAGAAAATGTAAAGAACTCTAATCTCATGACTATTCATTGCAGTCTATGCTTTGAGGAATTACTTAATTTTCGTATATATCTAGGCCATGCCCTAAATGTAAAATTATTTTATTTCAAGCCTCGACACACATATTTCAGGAATTAAATTCCAAGGCACAAACACGTCACACAGCACGTCACGCAGACATTGCCAATATAAATCCTAGCATAGGCACTCTTTGATATAAGTAGCCGCCATACAAATATCCGATAGATTGCAGTGCTTAGCTGTTGGGTTATAATTATCACCTGATATTGTAGCCATTAAAATTTAAGTTGAAAAACAAATTTTGCCTGCTTTGGAAATACCTTGGCATGTGGCCAACGGGTTTTAGCCATTGTTTATAGTTTTTCCGCTTCCCGTTTACCTCCAAAATGACAAAAATTCTGCTGGTGGTGTCACCTGCCGCCTGTCGCTTGTCGCTTGTCTGCCAGCTGCTGTCAAAGTAGCCGTCATAGTTAGCTTTTCAGTTTTTCAAAAACCTACGAAAGGAAAAGCAGAAAACTTCGACTACAATCTCCATGTTTCTCACATTAACTATTAATAGCATATAAATAATTTGCATATTGCATGAGCATGAAGCCAAGTAAATTCGAGGTTGTAAGGAGGCTAGCAGAGTGAGGTAACTGAATAATTAACACGGCCGACCTGTTGGCAGATTTTGCCTGCTTTATTTTCTGCACTGTTCAGTCCCTCACAATTAAGAAGTCGGCATTACGATTAATGAAATTTAGATAGGGGCGCACATCCAAAAAACTGGCAACCACATCGCGCTCTGCATCGTTATGTTCTTTGGTGTCGATTTGCAGGCCAACCAAGTAAAAGTTTCGCGGTGTATCCTTATTCACATGTATGCCCACCAGTGGAGCACCTTGTTCGTATATGTTATTTGTTTCCTGATAGCCGCAGATGATGGCGCTGCTGGTAACCAGTGAGCCATACTCTCTCTGGCAATGTGGTCTACTGAGCGTATGTACCCAGGTCTTATGCTTGAAAGGATCCTTAATGGGCATGCCTGCAGCAACGAACAACTGTCCCACCAGCGTATCATTGAGCTTCGAGGGTGGCGGCATGCAAATAGGGATTACATTTGGGGTCAGCTGCGCATCGCGCCGCAGTGTAAGCACCGCTAGACTATGCTTCAGAGTTAGTGGATCGTATTCGGGATGTATGGCGATCTCGTCCAGAGGAATGTTCTGGGCAGGCAGGACGCAAAAGCCATTCCTATCGCAGCTGACATCATCCAAACTGGTGCTCCTATTCCATACGCCCAACAGCACAGAGTAGGCCGAGGCTTGCCCATCGTACAGCAGAAAACAGTGCGCGGGCGCCAGCACATTTCGTTTAGATATTAGAGCCCCAACACAGCCACTCGATGGCAGCTTGCTCTTTTCTCCTGACGGTTAGATTTTTGACCAACTAATGTCGAATATAATTCAGACTCAAGCACTTACCAATTATGTACGTAATGAGCGCCAACCACTGATGTTCCGTAGGTATGGCAAAGTCATGCTGTATTATAAGCTGAGCCTCGTTTAAGTAGCCGCATTTGGAATCCTGCAAGCTGTCTGATTGCACAACTCTGATGGCGAGAAGCACACAAATCAAACCGTATTCTAGCTGCATTTCGATGTACGACTTGATATTAACTAAACTGGAATTGCATATTTCTACCACATTGGCATAAGCAGAGCTATTACAATATTGTAAATTAATAAGAGGGTTGCTCAACTAGTTGAGCGTTTGCAAATGTTTTTCTCATGTTATTTAAGAATTTAGAAAGTTATTGATGTTTTTAATAAATATCAAATACATATGTAATCAAACTCCATTTAAATATTATATTTTAATGGAGTTAAATTTTTATAAAATAAAACAAAACTTAAAGTACTTCCACTTCCACACTTACCTCGAAGTTATAATTAAAAACCGTGAAAAAAAACCCGTTTGTCATGCGGATGTTTAAGTGTTTATAAAAGCAGCAATCGGGTGCTCGATTAAGACAAGTTGGAAATAATTGAAAAATAAACTCAATATATAATATACACAAGATTATTGTACTATGAACTTGCTGAGTGGGTATTATCCATAATCCAGCGTCGCAAAGGTTTAATATCTTGGAAGAATAAAAACACCTGACCCACGTCCTTAGTCCTAACTAGTATACCGACCAAATAAAAGCTGCGCGGCACATCATTCTCAACATTAATGCCCATCAGTGGAGCGCCTTTGTAGGTGGAGGCGCGTATCCTCGGAAGTCCACAAAACTGATTATCTGGTGGCGGTGTCGCCGTTTCAGTAGTGCAGACTTGCCTTGATATGGTAATCGCCATATCTTTTACCTTTCTGACGTCAGCCTCTTCAAAGCCGCCGTAATGAAAATCCATACTAGTCCACGAGGCGGGCTCTAAAGTTGGCTGCAAGCACACTGGTTGAATGTAAGTAGTCATATTGATGCGCTGCGACAGCTGCAAAATAGCTATATCGTTGATTCCCGTGTCCTTGTCCGCAAGCGGATGCACCGTAATCGCATCAACTAGATATTGCACGGGTCCCGGGACACAAAAGCCTTTATCATTGCAGATATACGGCTCGCCGGGCTGATGCGTCTCATCCCAAATACCCAATCGCACGGCTATCGACCCTGGCTGAGTATTAAGCCCTTGCACGCATGATGCAGTTGTAAGGACATGAGATTCACCCACAATTACAACATTGCAGCCGGCGTTCCTAAATTTCTGACCTAAATATAGATGGAATGAGTCCCTCTTAAAGCAAGTGCGACAAATCATACCTTTGCGCTGAAAGAGCAGGCCAATCCACGGGTACTCAGCTGGCTCCGTTACTATGTCTTTTCTGTATAGCAAACGCTCCTCCAGCTTCCCGCAGTTTGTTTCAGCCTCAGCTGCGCCTGATGAACGAAACACATGTTTGCAATACCCGTCTAGTATTTATTGTCAAATCAACAACTAACAATTACCATTCAAAACACTCAAAATTAGCATTATAATTAGGTTTCCCAGCGCACTCATATTCTCAGTATGTCTAACCGCATCGACTGTAATTCAGGCGAATGTTCAATTCAAACTGAAAGCAACTAATTCAAATTCCAAACACTCAACATGTATTCAAGTTCATAGACTCGGAGAGTAACTGAGGGCAGCTAACGCAATTTCTCTCCCGCTTCAAATTTACCGTATCCATAATTTAAGTCTCTACTGCTTTATGCGATACGAACGCTTGATAGCCAAATATAAATAAAACAGCAAACGATTTTCCTACTCAGTTCAATAGACTTACATACTACTTACATGCAATGTGTGTATTTTGATTATTAATTAAATGCAATACCAAACAACTGCAAGACTTCAAAAAATCAATATACCAATATAAATTTAAAAAATATTTAAATACTTGAAATTGCTGATGGCTTTGCAAATATCCATGCAATTACTTAACCACCCCATTGCGGGTCATTATAAAGCTATTAATTCATCGATAGCTTGCTATGCAGTAATGTTATTTGCCAATGGGCTATTGAATATGGCCTAAATATTTTATGTTTCAATTAGAATGTCATTATCGCAGACAAGCAGTAGGCTTCCCAATGGGACGTATGTATGTATGATAACTTGAAGGACGCAAGGACTTTGTTTTGGCCTTTAAGCGGGGGCAGCCATATTTAATGCAGCACTAAAAGCTATACAAATTGCCCTACTTGCTGTGGCTGTGAATGTTTATGGTCCACCCAGACGACGTTGACTTTGGCTCAACTTGACCTGAACATTGAGCTACTCATAATTCTCATTGTTATGACGTACCCATATCCACCCAGCCATACGCACACACACATATATATACACAAATACAGAGAGAGAGAGAGAGAGAGAAAGAGACACATATGACCATTGTGCATTAGAAAACAATGTTATCGTTGCAGGAGGTCAGTTAGCCATTTAGCACTGTAACATGACTGTTTGCCTTGGGTTTTTGGCCAACTAGCAGCTACCTGAAGCGCGTATGCAAATTGCCCATGCTTGATGTTGCGTGATTGGGTGCGGGTTTGCCCTTTACGTGTAACAAGCCTTCAGTATTGCCTGCAAGATGGCCATCAAGCAACTGAAGTCGGCACCTGCGCCCTCCGGCTTAAGTGAGGCTTCCCAACTAATCGGGACCAGCACGTGAGCTTTACTTTCTTCATTAATGGCGTGTTATTCACTCAAACGATAGTTTGATGCAATTGAAAAAAAACCCCAAAATGTAGAAATTTTTAAAAATATATAGAAAATGGAAAATGGCAAAATTTTTTAGATTTGTTTAACATTAATAAGAGAGGGATTTAGTACATTGATATATAAAATTTCGAGCAAAAAATTGGTAAGCAGTGAAACCTTCTAAAACAACTATATTTTATTTAAATGATTTTTGTCTTTCGTATTGCATAACAGGATCGGGACACTATGAACTTAAGCGGCCGTTGGAAATGATAGTATGACGCGTGACGGCGAAATTCCAGCCATCTTCAATCCAAAACGCGTGCGAACTCCCTCCGTTGTGGTCACCGGCGACTCCTCGTCGAATGGACCGTACAATAACAATAATAGCGGCGGCGTGGGAGGCGGTGCCAGTGGTAGCGGCATTACCGCCGTCTCCAGCTGTGGCTTCAGTAATGTGCTCAACTCCAGCAATCCGCAAATAACCCACCAAGATTCAATATCATCGAGCCAACAAGATCCGAATGAGGTCATTACCATACAGGCGGACACACCCACTGGTACACACGGGTCACAGCTTAATTTTGGAGGCGAGTCCAACGACACACAGACTGGACAACTGGCAATAGATCAGCAGGCCAATGGGCAACCTGGCGAGGATGCGGAGGTCCGTTTTCGCAAACTCAAGGCCTGCAAAGAGTCCTGCTGCTCCGAGCTGGCCAAGAAGGTGACTAAATATAGACGCTCTGTGTAATTCAACTTTTACTGAAAAACAAAACTTATGTTGTAGATGTACTTTGGCGTGTGCGTCACCATTCTAGTGACTGCCTCATGGGTGGGCGCTACACACTGCATCAAGTACATGTATTTGTATCGTGCTCCATATGACGATGAGCTGGACGATGATCTAGATACCTCATCGAGTCGCGCTGAGCTCAGCACCGAGTTGGAGGATATACTGGCCATAAGCGACTCATCGCTGCACCATGTCGAGGACGCCACCGAGATGTTCAACATACCACCGCGCCAGCCCGTCTACTTTAATGCGCCATTCTTTGCGGCCTGGTTCTTTACCAATTTCTCCCTACTCTTCTTTCCCATCTATATACTAGGCCTCATCTCGGCTCGCAAGTGCGACAAACTAAGCGAAATACTCGCTGATGTGATACGAGGATTTCGGGAGAGAGGCTTCACCATTGGTAAGTGGTTATTAAAGTGGGTCAATCGCTTTTGAAATGCCATATTCGGCTAACTTGCAGGCCGTTTCCTCAATCGCTGTCTGTCCTTTTGCATCCTGTGGCTGGTGACCACCTATCTGTACACCCTGTCGCTGCACGTCCTCTTTGCCACGGATGCATTGGCACTCTTTGCCACAAATGTTGCCTGTGTCTATTTACTCTCTTGGGTCATACTGCATGAGCAGTTCGTTGGCGTCAGGGTAGGTATTAAAGCCACCTGCTCGTTTTCTAACAAAATAACAACTTGAACCATGTCTACCTTAGATTGTGGCTGTTATCCTGTGCGACACAGGCATTGCGCTGCTTGCCTATATGGACGGCATTACGGAGAGTCGCACGTTAGGCGGCGTCGTGCTGGCCACGTTAGCTGCAGCCGGCTATGCCGTGTTTAGAGTAAGCCTTTAGTCAAGTCCATTCGTGTCTTAGGCATATCGTGCTCACAGCGTCATATGCTCCCCCTTTCTAGGTTATGTTCCGCAAGGTGATGGGCGATCCGCCGGTGGCACAAATCGCATTCACATTCACCGCTCTGGGGTTGCTCAATGCTTTGCTGCTGTGGCCCGTTGTGCTGGCACTGTACCTGACAGGCGCCGAGAATCTGACATCAGAAAGCATACCATGGAACATGCTGCTTGTAGCAAGCGTCCTGCTCCTGGGTAGGCATATGCTGTCTCCTCCCTACTGGGCTCAGTATATTTCTATTTTTATCGTTGTAATTAATTATTATTGCAGTTTTCCACGTACTCATGCAGTTCAGTGCCGCCGTTACCTACAACATGTTTGTGACATTGGGTTTGATAACCGCTGTGCCCGTTTCTGGTGGTACGTAGAAAAACCTCTCGAATCAGCGTTTTGGTGGGCGGTAGTTTGCCTAACAATTACAACAACAATAGCAAAATGTGCGCCCAAAGGATTTCGTGACCATATATTATTTTAAATTGCAATCTAAAATATGGGCACATACGAATGTGTACAAGCCGACACGTATGTAAAGACATAGAACATTTGGGGCATATAAATATGAATATTATTTAGCTTACGATTCGCTACTTTAACAGTATTAAGGGTAAATTTGTAAGTTGTGAATTTCTAATTTTCTAGAGAGTAGGCAACCTTATTCCACCATTATAATATAGGCAACACTTTAATGATACGATTGTATTGTAACTTGATACAGTTAACTTAAGAGCTATGTCTTTCTAGAGTAGAGTTATATGAAAACAACAACTCGGTTAAGATATTTGTCAATCGTATTTTTAAAAAATAGTGAGTGCAATCTAATTAAATTTAATACCTTGTTCATATGCAAGCACTCGACGTCATACTGTACAGTGCGACATTTGCGGGCATGAAACTCGCCGGCGTTATTCTTATAGCCATTGGCTTTTTCCTCGTCATGTTCCCCGAAAACTGGCCCGACTACATAACGCGTCTGCTGCGGTAAGTAGAGAACTGTTTACCATATTTGTTTTACTTTTGTATTATTGCAACAATTATGCTAATGTTCATTTTGATTACATCTCGTGCGTGTTTTTTTAATAATTTATGATTTTCGTTTCATTTCAATTAATTTCATTGTACTTAAGACGTATATTTGTATTTAATTACATGATTTGCTAAGTAAAGTTAATAAATTTAACAACTTAAATTTAATATAAACAAATATTAAACTAAAAGAATCATTAACTTTATTGATTTGTCTCTAATATACTTGTATACATAACATAAAAATATATATTTAATTTTATATAAACAAACATCTTGCAGAAAGAGCGTTCGTGCCATACTCCGATACCAATGTTGTTGTGAATTAGCTGAAATTCGCTATGCTCATTCGGTAGGCCAAATACACAAGCTAAAACCAAAAACCTCCCAAAAACAAAAACAAAACCTAAAACTAAAATACCAAACAATATTACAATATTATCAAGAATACTATTAACGTTGGCATAAGATAGTAATTACCAAATACGTTTATAAAGATCTAGAGCTTGAGTGCCGCACAATGTATTAAAAAACTTGACAGATTTTTTACTGACTCAACAAGTATTAATATATACTCGATTTGAATAGCTAACCACACCCACAAATATATACTATGTGAAAATACAACACCCTGGCTTCCAAAAGTTTACGCTCACCCATTTATATGATATACCTACATACATACTTTATATGACAAGTCCCCTATTAATTTATACATACGTACAACACCCTAACAATATCTCTATGAATATATATTTATACATATATACGCCTTGTTACACAACACTATAACTATAACTATAATACCGTTATACATATGCCGTTCAACAACACTACTTCCGGCCGTCCTGCAGTTGGCCAATGAAACCTCCTTGTTGTTTTTCTTAATGTGTTTTGCTACTGTTTAATTGTTGTTAACACTTTTAATAATTTCGTTACCCTATGGCAGGTCAGAGATTCGTATATCAAAAACTGCCAGACTATATACAACTTTACATTTACATACATATATTTGAACCCATTTAATAAATATAATTTATTATTTTTCAACCACCAATGTGTAAAATATCTTTGTATATGGATGTTGTTGCCAATATTAACCATGCTGTGGTTCGATTATTGTAGCACAGACACACAAACAATACACAAGCATACACACACATACACCCACAAACTCCATTAACTGCGTAGCTTGACTTTCGCTGGTGTTGCGATATTTAATTTAAATAGACCTGTTAAGATCTCCTTCGACATTTGATGAAATGGATGCTGTTGTTTTTCCAGCCTGGTTCCTTGTTTTTGGCTGTTTGTTGTACGAACTGTTGATAGTACACGCTGCTTCATCATAAGTGATTACTTTTAATTATTTCGTTTCATTTTCATTTCGAACAAACCACATGGCTAGAGATGTTCCTCAAAGGACTACAATTTGTAAATACTATAACAACTATTTTATGCTCTCTTTAACATTTATTATTTCTTTTCTTCTTCTATATATTCAACTGATTGCACTTTGTAAACAGGGCGCAAATTATTATAGATATCAAAATATCGTAGCATGGCTGACTCAGAGTCCATCATTATTAAGTTCTTATAGTTAAAGGCCATTTGTGTTACGATTTTCAAGAACTCTTCCTGTGAAAAGCAACTAATAATACTACCTATAGTGTATATGAGTGCGTATGGTATGGGTACGGGAGCACAGATATAAATATATAAATATATAAACCCCCCTATAAATAAAATATTGAAAAATAAAAATCCATATAAAGTGTTTATTATTGGCATGTTTTAAAACCTTATTTATAAGTTAAATACATTCCCATTGGTCACTCTTTACTTTTCCAAAACTCTTGACTTTCTGTTTCAGTTTATCTTTGAGTTTATCTCCTGTGTGTTCTGTCTCTAAACTTAAACGTCTTCTATCTTCTAAGCTCTACACTATTGCTATATACTCTACTTATTTCTTAAATAAAAAATGGTGTCGACATTTCTCAATTGTATTTACAGAAGCATCATAATGCTGGGTCACAATGCGAGGTGAGTTTCGTGAGTTCGTGCAATGCCAAAAGCAGGCAAAAAACGATCTATTTATTTTGATTCAAGCAAAAAAACGGTGCTCACAACTGAAAGCAACGTTTTTTGCTATTATACGCCATATAGGTAAACCATACTCAAAACTCAAAACTTTGACAAAGATAAATACTTAAAAGTTGAATATTGATTTAAGTTTAATTCCGCTTAGTTCAAAACTTGACTAGTAAGTTTGAGCTGTCGGGTTTGTTTTTGTTATGGGCATTTACTTTAAAACCCAGACGCGATATTCCATATTCAATATGACATGATAAGTATTCTTTAAATATTTTTAGTCGATTGCTTTAATGAGGGTTTGAAGTAGATTTTCTTTAATTCATTTTTGATTTCTTTGCATCAATACTTTTGCTTAATTTATTTATTTTATTTTTATTTTCTATGAGCTGAAGGTTAAATAAGCTTTCATTACTATTCTATTTTCTCTAGTTATTTATAGATTTTTCTCTTGTTATTCAAAGTTAATAGTTTCAGTAGTTTTCAATCCATCTAAGTAGCTTAGGTATCAATTAGAAACAGTGCCAATTATATACTTAAACATTTCTAAAAACATTAAGGTAAGTTCTCTTGAGGATTCGATATCCTTCTTAATAAAAATGCAACTGAAGTCTTGCAAATTTTCAAAATGCACTCGTCGTTCTTCTGAAAGATCTGACACTGCACTAAAAAGAAATTCACTTTATATATGTTTTCATATTAATACCAAGACTCTTAAGCTGAATCATCTGCAAATGCAAGCTTCCTCAAGAAAAGGATAAGATACGAGTGTTCCATTTTTTTTTCATAAACAATGTTAAGAAAATTGAAGTTTTTATTTAAGCAAACTGAATCACACAAGATCCCCTTCTTTTTTTAATCAAACGAAATCTTTGAACAGCTATCTAGTAGTAAAAATATTTGTAATTTGTATTTATAGAAAACACCGCTAATCTGTACTATTGCTTCTTTTCTTCTTGTTTTTCTTCTTCACCTCTGCCACGATCTGCCTATCCGTCTATCTATACGACTGTCTCCTCTCTTGAAACGCTCTCTGTCGCTCTCTCTCTCTCTTTCTGTCTCTCTATCTCTCTTTCTCTCTCTCTCTGTTTTCACACACAACAACCCAAAATACACGAAATCACAACACACCAATCAACCTGGCCAATTAACTAAACTAATTTTTGAACCACTACAACATTCAACATTCATTGCAAAATTCGAAAAACTATAATACACTGCAAAAAATGTACCAAAAAAATACCACAATAAATGAATATATACCACGTAGCGGTAGGCCAGCGCTTTGTAAACGAGATGCTGCAGTCACAGGACCGTCCACGAGATATGCGCAACGGCACATCACGCGTTCCTTCTCGCACCACATAAGCTAAAAGTTGGAAAATAAGCAAAACCAAAATATGACCACAGACAGATATTCTGTACAGAAAAAAAAAAAACAAGAAATACATGCATATATATATTTTGTAAATGATTTTCCACAAAAAAATGTATAAAATACGCAAGTTCAGAAAGACCACTGAAGTTTTCGGTAAGTACCTGAACATATTTAACTATTGCCTGTGAAATTCATGAGTAACTCGTAAGGTACAGTTGCCACCTTTTAGAGTTAGCTAAGTCCAAGTGAAATGTTCAGATGCATTTTCGTTCTTAAAATTGTTCTTCCGTTCTGCTTAAAGTCCTCTTTAAATTATGTGTTGTTCTCTTTCTCTCTTTCTCTCTCTCTCTTGTTCTCTTTTTGTATTATGGTTTGATTTTTAATTCACAGATCGCAGCATATTTATGCGTCCCATTATAAACATAAACGAAAATATTATGCTGTCAACACGAACTCATATGTTGTTTGAGCCAAGCGCATGAATAAACTCCTGATCCTATAAACCGCAATTTTTGTAGCGAACGTGTGTGGCTTTAGGCAAGTTTTTGTTAAGCCCCACGGCCCACAAAATGTTTTTATAAATGTCGTAACTGTCGAAACAAAAAATCAAAATCAATTTTTTACCAAACAATTAGTAAAAAGTACAATACTTGAAATTGCGAAACTAACGAAATGGTGAGCGCTCTTAATAATTTTTGTCAACCCTTAACTATAGAAACTTCACTAGCTACCCTCGTAACCTTTTTCCACTACACAGCTAAATGTAAATTAAATACATTATTTATTATAATTTCAGTTTGATACATTATCGCCTATAGCACTGTAAATAGTTGCATTTTGCTTCCATGGCTAAAATTATTATGAATATAACAGCACAGCTTACTGATTACTCTATAGTTATATATTTATATATGTATGTGGCACCCAAGTAATGCCTCTGCTTATACCTACAATAGCCCTTAAACACACACACACACACACACACACACTAAAACAAACACAAACTGTTATTGTGTAAATATATAAAAAAAATGTGACAAATTTAAGAAACATCAGTAAAAAATCAGTAAAAAAAAATGCTAGATAACAATTTTAGACGCCTACAATCTTAGTGTCAACTAGTAAGACTATGTAAATGCATTGCTGATCAACTAACAGACACCTTGAATTAAATGAACAAGCGATAATGAAGATACTATCTTTTAGAGCATATTGAATTACTGTAGTTGATCCGCTACGTATATACAAGTATATATTTACTGCTAAAATCAAATGGAAAACAATTTTCATATATGTACATAAAGCGCATTAGAACTGTACACGAAATGCCTAGAAAAAACCAAAATGTAGAAACGCTATCTATATGCCCATTGCTAATATCTCAACTATTCTTTATGCTCCACACATCTTATACACTGTTCTGATTTAACAAAACAACACAATATATACATACATATAATACATAGATGGGGTCGCGGCCCTCGGAGCGGTACTTCAACAGGTCAGCATCCCACCATTATCGATTATCGGACGGGATACATAAGGTCCCATCTTCGTTCACCCTCTGGCCGTGTGAGATGACTGACCTATCGCCAACTACAGCTGGGTTTCTGCATGGCAGCACCAACGCACACCACCACCAGCAACTTTTACAACAACAACACCACCGTCACCACCAACAACAGCAGCAGCATAATCTGCAACGCCAGCACTCGCACACATCGCTTACCATGATCCACCGGCAGAGCAGCAGCCACAGCGTCCATGGCAGTCGTCGCGGTAGCGGTGGCATTCGTGCCCCACCTACCGGCACCGGGCGCTTATTCTCATACTTTGGCAATGAGCATGAGCACGAGCATGATCGCAAAAAATCAGAGACTTCATTCTTCAATTTGGGATTCCGACGCAAGTCTACGGTGGTGTATTACGCACCTACAGAATAACCACTGGGCCAATGATTAGCCCTTGTGGTGCAGTTTAGCTGTTGCATATCAAGTCCCGCAAGCATATGAAATAAGTGCATCATACAGTTAACACGCGTTTACAACATCAATCAAGCACTTCGGACTTATTTGGGGCGTATGTACCACTATCGTATCGTAAAAAGTATGTCATATAATTATCGTTGTTGTTGTGAGAGTTTTAATTGAAACACATGCAGTTAGAATTTTGCTCAAATATTTACAAATTATACGCAACAAGTACAGATACTACATAGCTCATAGTCGACACGAACTATAGAATTTTTCTTAAAATCACAGAGTCCATGCGAAAGCCCATGCACACTTAAACAAAAAACAGAGCCACAGCCAGAAACAACCAGAACCAGAACCAGCACGAACAGAAGAGAGCCCATTATATAACTGAGCTCAAATTTGCCCCTGAAATTAACTAAGTACTTACTGATATACATGAAAGAGAAAACAAAGAATCAGATAATCGAGAAGAATTGAATGATATATCGAAGCCAATTGTTTTTAGCAATTATATAGTACATAAAGGTATATTAATAAATATTATTATTAAAAATTTTAAAGTAAACCCACACTGCGGCACACCTCGATAGGGATACCAAATACCAAACTCATTGTTGCAAAATCCGGTATATTAGTTAGTCTAAGGTATGTTGTTTATAGAGATCACGTTAACTTTAGAGACACATAGAGAAATGAATAAATGGCCCGTTTAGTTGTAAGCTCATTTTAGCAACTAAAAACGCAGACGAGAAATCCAAAGATTATTCCTATTTGGTTCGTGGGTTTTGTTAAAGTGTGTTTTTATTTGAAAGGAAACCGAAACGGATATTAAAGTATTTGTGATTCTTTTTGTAATGATCGTGTGTTGTTTGTTATTTAGCTAATTGTTGTCTATTGTTGCATTGCAAATTGAATGATCGAAAGCGATCTTTTTAAATGTTAGTTGCTGGGGATTGTCTGATTGACTCCTAATGCATCCTCACAAGCATTCAACGACTGAGTTGCATTCGCTTCCTCGCTCGTGGTGACAGACAAGGAGCTCAAATTAGAGCATACAATTTAGCAGCTGCCTACTATGTAAATGTATTAAAATGTGTATCCACATCCAATAATTGTTTGTGATAATTTTTAATGATGTTTGATAACCAATTTCATGAAGCTACTCCTACCCAAAATGGAGGCAGCATTTAATGTAGCCGGGAACTGTAATTAGAAATCACAATGTACTAATAAAAAGAAAACACTACAGCCAATGGCATATCGCTTGTTTTAATTTCATTTGTCTTGGTTGCCTTGCATTAATTGTCAATTAGAGAAAAATCTCACTTGCGGGCATACAATAAATAAACCTCAGTACAAAAACATCTCTCATTCAAATTGAAACCCTTCCAAAATTTGTTAAAATTCTAAAAGGATCAAAAATAAATCAAAGTTCGAACTAACGATTTATTCTTTATATTTCGCGGATAGCTTGGGCCGATCGTAACTAAATCAAATCAGTTCAGTCGTGCATACAACTACCGCGATATAAGAGAAACGTGACGCCCGGCGATCAACGGGCGGCAACATTTAATTTGGTTTTCCAAGGTCTTGTGTTTTGTTTGTGTTTTGTTTCAAAAATAATAACCTTTAACGGAAAGTCCTTTTGCACTGGATAAATCATAAAGTTTGCAAATTTTATTTGAATTGTGTGCGTTTCGTTCGTGATTGTAGAACTGAGCTATAACGTGGATATCAATATGAATAAATTTGGTAAGTGCAAGATGAGAAATGCTGCAAACAATAAATTTATATATATTTATATATTACTGTAAGTCGTGTATTCAAAACATTTACAAAAGTCTTTTCAAACTAGTCAAACATGCCTGCTTCGAACACTGTGTGGTATTTAGACTTAAACTACGAAATAGGCCATAAAACAATGTCATATATAAAATTCGAATATATTTTTTGTGAAGGCACTTAATATTAACATTTGATAGAAAATATATAATAAAATGGACGGACTTACGATGTAGTCTATATGTAAGTAATATGTATTCGAGCATGGAATTTTTGTTTTCATAAGGCACAATTAAAACTTTATCGATTGTTTCATTTTTGTACTGTCCTACAAAGTAATATATGTTAAATAATAGACAAGACCGCCAAAGACACATGGATATATATCTATATAGAATGTTTGTAGATATATATTTAGAGAAACTCTACTTCAATTGTATACCCGCTGTGCTGGCTCCTGCCTGCAGCCGGCAACGGCACAAATGGAAATGGAGGAGTTACCCAAAACGCAGCGGTCGTCACTGCCCACCGGCGCGCTGTTGCCCTGATATGACTATGAAAAATGTGTGAAAATATTTTTTGTGTACATGTCCAAGTCCAGCTACCTATCATTTTTAATGAAAAAAGAAGAGCTGGCAATTTTTTTGTTGCCCTGGCAGGAGACCAAATCTAAGACCAAGTGGCTGATAAACTGGTTCCTGCGGCGCATAGAAAAAGTTCTCAGGGTATAGATAATAAAAATTCAAGCGCATATGATAATCATGGCGCAAAAAAAAGCGCCAGCATATTTAATTCAGGCAAAAAAGCAGCCAATGGACCATCGGACGCTCAATGTCGACGATTTAATATAAGAAAAACACGACGGCAGGCGTTCGGTTATTTTTTGCAGCCTCTGGCCTGGCAGGAAAGGTGTGTGTGTGCGGTACAAACAACCCTCAGCCTGGCTCTAGAGGATGGGTGTAGGTACGGGGCCTAACTGGGTTTTGATGTTAACAGGTTTGCAAATTCTGAGCGAGCACACGCATACAGCTGTGCAACTTCATGGACATTAGCAACGACCACAGTCAGCAGCAGAGGCAGTAGCTGTAGAGACGTCGTTTCCGTAATCTGAGCGCAGTAGGCGCGGCTGTTTGCGCTTTTCTGCTGCTGTAGCTGCTGTTGCTGCCGCTTTTGATAGAAATGACAAATAACCAGATTCATTGTAATAGATTATGTCTACAACTTAATCGCCTTGCAGATAAATGATGACAATGTTCAAAGACGCATCGAGCAAACATATCTGGTATACGGAACACAACGGACAACTTTGGTTTGCTTTTCTGGGCAACAGCGCGTTTTGTTTTGGGTGTCAATTTTGTGTCTTGCTGTTGCTTTGTCAGTTTTTAGATTTTTTTTTTGTTTTTGTGAGGTTTGATGTGAGTTTCGTTTGGACGGAAATTGACGTTAGATATTTGGCTTATGGATGGTTAACTTAATCTATATATTAGCGTGAGCGTAAGGCCAAACAATGAGATGACCAAACCCAACGCAGATTGCAAGCCCGATGCTCCCGCCAGACGACATTTGAACATGTCATAGCGAGTCTCCTTATCGGCAACAATATTTTGATATTCGGCCTCGACCAGCTGGCCGTCATAGTAAGTGATTAAATCTTCAAATGGATACTCATAGCCCTGCAAACACTCGCATTTATATCCGCCAGTCTCATAGCCACGACCCATAATAGGCACGCACTGTGAATACGCAAAAAATTAGCACGATTTAACAATTAAAATACAGTCGCTACTCACATATGAAGTCTTCTCATCGCACTTGTGTGTGCCCTTATAGGCATTAGGCTCGTAATACCAGTCCGGACACTGGTTTATGTCCAGCTGCAGCATGTCCATGGACACAGCGACCACACCCCTGCGAGAGAAGTCAACAAATTAGTCAGTTTAATTGGTAGCATTAACATGACAATGCAACTGAAGAGCCACAAGTCATAAGTTAGGCCATGTCAACACTCGAAAATTAGACAATCATATCATATAAACTTTAAACAGAGCATTTGCATGTGAATGAAAATGGGATTGCGAATGAGTATGGGACTGGCCCTAAAAGGGGTGAGCAGGCCCGCGACAGCGGCACGCAGCAAACCGGCCCATGACCTAAACCCAAAAAGTATCCCCTACCCTTTTTCTTATGAAATCTACTCACTTGAATTCCAGTTTGACTTTGAGGCTGTCCCAGCCAAAGAAGGGCGCCGCATAGGTTACCAGCCACTTCTTGACATAACCATTGCAGTCGAACTGAGGCTGGGTCCAGTAACCGTGCTTAATGCTTGCGGCACGATACGAGTTCGGGTAGTGCTCATACTTCTGCTGGTATTCACCTGTCTCATTATGACGTATCTTGATTTTCATGTAGAACGTTTCCAAATCATCAAAGTTCGTATTCCATCGCTGCTTGAGGAATTTAAAGTACTTCTTTTCCGTATAAAGCTCGTGCGTTTTGTTAAGACGCGCCAGATCTTCCACCTTAAACTTGCGCGTGTTCAGCTCCGTTTTGTATGCATAGGGTCCAAAGTAGGTGCGATTGGTGAACTTATTGCGCTCCCAAAGTGTTGACGCAGACCAGACTTTACTGTCGCCCAGCACAATGGCCAGGGTCTCGCCTATCATTTGATCCTCGGTCAGCGGCTTGTCCGCAACACGTTTGCCGGAGTACACCTCATTGGGATCCGATACCTACGGACATAAAAGCTTAGCTAAAGTCTGCATTTCTGTTTCTTAGATTGGGGAAATAAATTTCCCCAATTATCTTGATGCGTATGCTAACAACTTGTACAGATACGAGCATAAAAAGAATCAGAAGTTTAGAGGGAGGGTTAAGGGAGTCCAGTTTGTGCGAGCGTTTGCTTCTCTTTATTGCTAATGTTGCTATAGCGGCTGTGTAGCTGTGGCATTTAATGAAGACGACGCCTTGTGGCGAACCCGTTTTTCGTGTCCTTTGCGCTCAAACTAATGAATTTAGCATTTGGTAATGGTTTGACACTGAATATTTAATTCACGCCACGGCTGGCAACTGCCAACTGGCAACGTATAACTGAAACTTCAATTGAAACTGAAACTGGCATTGCAGGAAATTCGAGGAAGTTGAATTACGCGTGGAAAATTATAATTTACACTTGAGAAGTTTTCAAGAGGTGACATCGAAGGCTCTTAATAGGTGTCGGGTTTATCAATTATTGCTCTTCATTTAGCGTGAAGGCGATGGGAAAGTTTTGCACGCTTACCTGCAAAAAGGCGCTAATAAAGTTGGCCAGACGCACAGCCATTTTGGCTTCGTTTTCGAACTGTTCCTTGGCGCCAAAGCTAACATCACCGCGCAAGATAAGATCTTGTGGATGGAAGCTGAAACGAAAATTTAAAGCATTGCAAAAGATACATCAAATATTTTCTGCACTCACTTCTTGCATGTGCGGTAATTAACGCCGTGAATATACTTCAGGGCCTGGTCAATATTCAAATGTTCGGTGTGCAGGGCTCTTGCGCCTGTCGAGTAGTTGCGATACTCAGTATGCAAATCTAAATATTTTTCTCGTATATGATATGGTGCCTTTTCCCACTGAATGGGCAACTTTTGTATCCCTGAAGGAAGAAACGTTTTAACTCTTACTATGAGTACCCTAGCTTTATATTAACTTACAGCCGATTTTAAGGCAATTGTATTCATTGTAATATTGTTCTGCCGAGGCTCGTTCCACAATCTCGCCAAGATAGGGTCGCCGCACAGTGTTTGGCAGTCGATAGCTCGGCTTACAACGACATTGATAGCCACCACGCCTAAAGCCCCAGCCGTGTAGGGGTTCGCATTCGGTTGTTTCCTTTTTACATCGCGCTGTGTCTGCAAAATGATTCGGTCCTTTGTTGCCCTCGCCCAGCGGACACTGATTAATGTCTATGCGCTCAAAATCCATCTCCAACACAGATACGGCAGTATATCTAAAGCAGCGATTTATTAGTGGGAAATATATCGCTCCTATAAATTATCACTCACTTGGGATACTCAATGTGACGGAACTGGGTGTGTCTGGGATAAATGTCTGCAATAGGCACCACGGCTGCCACCAGCCACTTGTTTGAGCGTCCGCAGTCGAAATAGGGCCGTGTAAACTTTATCGGACCTGGTATCTCCTCAGAGCCAGGCGGACCATGAAACGTGAACGTTTCATTTGTATTGTTCGCATAGCGTATTTCCACTTGGTAGGTGATCTTTGTGTCATGCCGACCAGCAACATTGTCTGGTAGCCAGGCGCGATACCATTCATTAATTTTATAAAGATCATGAGTGTAATCCTTTGAAATGGAATCGGGATGATGGGCGCCCAAGTCCTGTACGTCGAAAGTATTCCACGTGGAAATCTTTTGTAAATGTATGGGATCATTAAAGTCATCCAGGCGGAAGGTACGTGGCCCAAATCGTGGGAAGGTTTTATTGAAGAAGCCACGGTACGATGAAGAGTAAGAGCTATTGGGCGCAAAGTAAATGGCCGAGGCGTTGATGCTGGGATTGGCAGATACGTCCGCCACAGTGGAAAGAAAATAATACATCATACCCGGATCGTATGTATCGTTAATGGCCGGTCGTATGAAGCGCGACTGCAGTATATAACTCCAGAAGAAGCTTCGGCTCAGTGCCATGTTCTGGAGATGCAGTAGAGCCGTACGATTCGGGAATACGGGGTTCACATTCACTTCCTTGATGTCGGGCTTGTGAGACACTGTGTCCAACGGCATAAACAAGTCCGCATGATGCTGTATGGGACAGTTATCGGCATTTACCTTGTCGAACTGTATTTTTATCTCATCGAAGGCGTCGCGGGCCTGCCACTCGTGCTGGGCGAACACGCCCACGACAAGCACTAGCACAAATAGCAGGTAGCTGCGCCCCAAAATCGTTGATGGCACAAACAGAACCATGATTGATTATGTTTGTGTGAAGAAGAGTCGATGTCGCTACCACCGTGGGCAGCTAAATAAATAAATTTGCTACACTTTAACTTAAAAATTAACTAATATTTAAAGTGAGATTCAAGTGCATGCAGACACACGCAACGCGATTACTAATACAAATTAATGTTCTTCACTTGTTGGAACTACGCCCTCAAAATCAACAGTGTTGCAAGCGTCAGTGTTAGTATCGCATTATAGTATCGATAGTCGAGTATCGAAATGACTAGCAACTGCAGTTCAGTTTTTGTTCGATACCTATCGATGTAATGAACCAGTGTGAACAGGTTCGGAATTTAAAAGTAGCCCGCATGTGATTTATGAAATTATATAGGGTCAATCACATAATTTAAGCCCCCGCCCCCCAACAGGGCGTACACATGTATTTATAATTATGCATACTGCCGCTATTCACAGTTGACACTCCATTTATTATACCGCCGCATGTCCCAAAAATTACTGCAGAGCAAATTTTTGGGCGCCTGCCAGTAAAAAAGCAATACGACCGTCCTATGGAAAACTTTATAGATCCGACATTGATAGGCGGTTTGCATTATTCGCTACAAAACCGCAACGAGGTCAACACAGATATTTGGCAACTTGTGCAAAAAGTCTCGTGAACCGCAACCATTTCCTGACTCCTATCACTGTCAATCTGTTTTCGTTGGTGGTTGTGTTCGCTGCTCTTCCTTTTGTCGCCACCTGCGCTAAATGACACGAATTAGCGGCGACTCGCTGCATCCTACGTTCCCTTTTTATTTATTTTTTTTTTTTTTTGCAACTGCATTACATTGCAGTGGGTACGCTCTGCCTTTTTGGCCAGTTCGTTTGGGTTATTTATTACACCTGTCGTTTTGCTTGTCTTTTTTTCAGTTTTTACCCAGTTGGATTACAGCGCCAATTCTCTGCTGGCCAAAAAAGAGGAGCCAACTTAAATTTGGCACAAACATAATTTTCAGTTTGTCGACTGACATTTCCGCGCGCGCGCTTCTCTGTGTGGATGTGTGTGGTAGGCACTGTTTATCCTGGTGCCGCACCTCGTAATGCAGATAAATCTACGCGGCGCTCGCATTGTTTTATTTTCCACGTGGGAATCGACAAAACAGAAAAAACAAACTGCAACTGCCCCAAAAAATGTTGCAGTCATTTTGCACTTGTTTTGTTTTCTGTTCTGTTTTAGTTTTCTGTTTCGCCTTGTTTTGTTGCCTGTAATTGATTGTTGTAGCTGTTGCAGTGGCCGTTGCCGTGTCCTAAATAGCAACGGCAATTGCGTTGCGACAGAAGTTTATTTTTGTAGCTTTTTGGACGCATCTGTGCACCGATAGCAGTTAAGCTCAACAAGATTAAAGTTTCATTTGAAAATGTGCCAAAGGCATTAAAATAGTTTCCAGCAAATAAAGTTGGCAAGCTCTCCATCTATGCCCGAGCTGTATCTCATATCTGCGTGCAATTTACTATATAAATACATTTTAATTAATTTATATAGAATTTTTGAAAAAATATTTGTATGATAATATGGGATTATATATTTAAAGAGCTGTTGGTTAAATGAGTAACTAAGCAAAAATATGTTGATAACATTTTATCAAGCGTGTTGCAAATCAGCAACGAAAAACATCAAATAAAGTATATTGCGCATTCATTGAAATCTTTGCGCAAGTTCAAAAAACCTCAGGCCATAAAGCAAAGCACAACAGCAACAAAGGGAAAGCCAAGAAAAAATGAATGCCTTTTTGCATGCTAATAACCAGACGGAGAAAATAAAGGCCACAATTTAAACAAAATCAAACCGAAGTAATATAAAAGAGAACAAAAAGGCTGCAGTGGTTAGACTTGGACGTGACTATAGATTTGGACATATGCAAAGTGCGCACTGTGACATGTCTGCGATCTTTGGATTGCATTTTTCTTTTTGGCATTGGCTTCTAAAACAGCAAAACATAGCCCCAAAATTGGGATGTGCCTGTACGTGCTGGGCGTCACAGCATCGGCAATCTCGCCAGCATCAGCAGCAGCAATGAGTGTACAGCGGCAGCAACAGCAACAACAATAATAATACCAAAGCACTTCCATCCCAGTCAGCCAACAACAACAACAGCAAATAACATACACATACAAAAGCGGCCTAACACAGCGCAAAATTTTTTTTGTCAAGGGTGAATGACCCAGAATCAAAATCCACAACGTTGTCGTCGTCGTCGTCGTCGCTGCTATTGCCGCTGCCTGGCTGGCTGACTGGCTGACTGGCTGCCTGCTTACCTCGCCTGCCTCTGTTCCTCCCCAGCACCCCCAGCCAGGCTATAGCCGCCGCTGACTCCTCCTGTTGCCGGCGTCGTCTTCTTGCGCAGCCCCCACGCCGCCGCACTTGCTCCAACAATGTTGTGGCTCGGTCTCGGCCTCTCGTATTCGGTTTCGGCTCCTCGGGCTGTTATGATTGCCGTTGCCAGACGATAACCCAAACCAACATCAGCAGCAGCAGCAGCAGCAGCAGCAGCAGCAGCGGCAGCAGCAGCAGCGGCAGCAGCAGCAACAGCAAAAAGTGAAAAAAGAATTGCGAATTTAAACATTTTGCAGCATTGCACACGCGACTCTCGCGCGCGCTCTGCCAGACAGTCTGAGAGATACAGAGAGATACAACGCCGTCGACCCACTCACAGATACAGCTACACGTACAAATGGTAGACAGGGCTCTGGAGTTGCTTTTGCCTTTTGTATTGCGAAATGTTATCGTGGCAAACGAACAGCGTTAATTGCATTGCACGCCTCCACCCTATAGCACGGCCTACGCCTCCTCCTCCTCCTGGAGGGCTCGCTCTATTGCATCCGTTAGATACTTTTTTATGCACTGTGCCTTGCCAAACTGTAGTGAACTTCCGCTGGCATGGCTGCCGTTATTGCTGCGGCGGCGGCGGCTCCTGCTGTTGGCCCGGCAAATCAATCTTAATTCGGACTACGCGTCACTGAGGCCCTATCGGCATTTATCAGCATTATGATTTCGCCCCCTGGACACAGCAACATCAAAGTAATTTGAGGAGCAATAAAAAGCTCTGACAGGCCAACAACTAATGCACAATCTCAAACACACAAAGCAGCAATTAAAATTGACCCAAGATGTTGTCGCACTGTGGGACCTGTACGAATCACAAAGCAACAAAATTCAGCTTTGGCGATTTTAGTTCACATTCTCGAAAAAATATTTGCTTCTATGATAGATTTTTAATTTGAATATAAAATGTACATTGTTCATTTCAACTGAGAATTTTTCATTTTTATCCACTGTATCGAAGACGTCTACGTCTCGAGGTTGCACGAAAACCTGAACCAGTCCGTGTCTCATTTACCGTCTGGGGCTGTCACCTAATTTCCGTTTTAGAAAACATGTCCTCTGGCCAGCAAGGGCCACTCGAGAGTACCCGTTCGCTGGCATGTGTCCTAGCTGTGGCCCCTGTGTCTGGCGGCAACTCGACTTGTTTCAAGTCATTGCTAAGTTTTATTTGCAACGAGGACAGCAGCAAATAGTTCTTGTGTAATTCAATTGTTGTCCTTGTCGCATATGGCTTGTGTCGTTGTTGCAGGTTCCTAAATAGCCACAGGGCACAGTTTGTGACTGCTGCAGTTTGCTTATGGGCCCGCAGGCAAGTGACGCGTTGTGCCTGAGTGAGCTCGAGACTTGTGCGCGCTCCCTTCAAGGACCTACGACAATAGCTAAAGTTACCCAAGCACAAGCGCAAAACGAATGGCCTGACAAGCAACAAAGTCGAGCCCGCGTTCGTCCTCTCTGCTTGGCAAGAGCTTCCACTTGTGCTGGTCATTTGCCTGTCCCTTCGACTATTGCCTTTTGCAGCTTTGAAATTACTTTTGAACCCCGAGTGGACTAGAATTCACAATTTTCTAATTTTTTTTTGCCACACTGCTATTATTTGGCACTTTCAATTCGATTTCTCAAACCCAAGGACCAAGCAAGAGAAAAAAGCGAAAATGTCATTTGAATATTCTCGATTTTTGGTATTACGCATAAACGAGCCAAGAAATTTCAATTGCTGGTTGCTTCAGTTGACGGCTATGAAATAAATTTAAAGAATATCTTGAACTGGCTGCGTTTTCGTTATTCGTTTAATTTGGAATGCAATTATTTTCAGCTGCATTTTATGGCCAGCTCTGCTTTCCCATGGTCATTTTCTTGTATTGCTGATCAACAGGCATGTAATTTATGCGTATTAATTTCATAGCTTGCCTATCCCGCTTCCTGTTTGTCTTTCTCTGCTGTCTGGATACAATGGTTGTCCAATCCTTGCCATTCGTTATGCGTTGCAACACAAAAGATATCGAAAAAGGATTCTCGCATATCGCACAAAAGCAATGCAAGCAAGTCGCGTCCATTGCATCGTTCCTTTTGCCATTATTCAAGAATATAATGCCATTTTTGATATGTAAATAAACAGCAGCAACGACAACAACAACGAGGCTTGCCGCTTGCCGCTTGCCCGGCCGCGTTCTAATTGCCACGAAGGACCTGCCGGCTGCGCTAAGGCTACGCTGAAGCTGCGCTGAGCTGAGCTGTGTTGCCTGGCAGGCATCCTGCTAAGCTGGACATGCAATTGCATTGCATTTGGCATTGTTTTTCAACTTTCTGCTTTCCGTTTAAGGGTTGAGTTTCAAGTTCGTTGCTGCGGGGTTATCGCACGATTACAAAAGATTTCCTCTGGTCAACGGCGGCCAGGCACAACATGCTAAATACAAAAAAAAAACACAAAATACAGAATGAATAAACCATAATGCAAAATACAACAAAATCCATGAAACTTGCAGCGGATGTTACGCGTACAATATTTTCATCCCAAGCCCGGCACAGGAGCTAAAGCCTTGGAGGGGCTTTATGGTCATCGCCGCCATCTGGATGCAGTTGCTAGATGCTCACATTAACTTTTATCTATGAGATACTTTTGTATCTTGGCAGCTGGCAGCTGCAAACAACGCAACACGGCGGCAACTGGTGTCGACTCTTTAAGATATGCATCACCAAGTGCTGCTTCTTCTACACTTGGTGTTTGTACTCTAGCGAAATCGAAGTCATATATCAGCGATATCCTGCATGCCAAAAGGATAATTTTGCTTAGAGCATCCCTTCTCTGGCTCTATGCCCGCTTC